TCTTTATAGTGAATCCTCAACGTCTCGTACCATTCATGTGATTTTTGTGTGGGAGCTTAGGATGAAACTCAGCATTTAGCCCTAATGGAATTTCATTGCTGTAACACTAGCCTGTTGTAGAAAAGCTCGGTGTTTTATATTCAGCTACTTGGGCCTTTCCAAAATGGAAGGTGAAATGGGGCACAACTAGAGAGAGGGAACTGGAAAGAGGGGCATGGCCAGCTTGGTTATCTGTAGCATGGGACTGGAAATTGCACAATGCCACCTTAACTGCAAAAAGCTAAGAAACAGACAAGGAAACACTTCTATGTCTCAGCTTAGAGAGAGCACTAAGAAGTGGGCAAGTAGAAGTGTCAAATATACATAGCACAGGGACAAATAAGCTAATTTGATTGAAGGAGAGTGGGTGGAGGGTGATTAGAGTCAACAGAACCGAGTTGCCAGCCCATATTGAGTGGATATTTTTTTCACTGTAATAAATGAGTAACCCTTTTGTTCTAAATAAAGGGCAAATAGTGAGTACAGTGAGGTCTTATAAAGAAGGGAAAAGGCAAGCTTTCTCCACAAATGTAGAAATACACAGATATAGTAGAAACACAAAGGAACCCAGTTAAGGATCTGGTCCTAGAGTTATTGCAAACCCAAACTCCCACTAAAATGAGTGGGAATCTTGGAAGTATAAAAAAAAAATGAAGAACGGGCACAATGGTTTGTTCACAGTGTGCTGCTGCTGCTCCCCTACTTCACTGACGATTCTGGATGTCTTTTCTCCAAAATATTTTTACCTTCAGCAGTATGATGTAATGTGCCTTCTGGATGCCTTCCTCTATAATAGGTGCAATTTAAGATGGTGGCAAGAATACCCCACCTTGTTTTTAGTCTCAGCAATTTCCTGATCGGTGTACATGTGGTTAAAAAAAAGTTTAAATTGGCCATTCAAATGTTACAAAATATGCAGGCTTTCTTACTTGTATTAACTTTATATTCCATCTTTACAGTAGAAGTAGTTCTTAAGGCAGCTGACATTAATAAAATACAGTTTAAAAACAAATTCATCATTAGAACATGGTTAAAAAACAATACGCCGAACAAAACAACGAAGGGATCAGGCTGCGCCTGATCAGTTAAAAAAAAATCTTCAGGAACTGAGTAGCTTACTTGCCAAAGACCTATCATGATAAAAAGACCTTTGTCTCACAAAGGACGAATGATAGAGAGACTGAGCCACACTAGTTCCCCTTGGCTAGGGGTTCTGGAGCCTATGAGCAGCCACCAGGAAGAACCTCTCTCAAGTCCTCACCATATGTGCCTATATGAGTGGCAGGAACAGAGCAAGCCTCTCCTGAAGATCTTAAAACCCAGGGACACTCATCTAGGGACATACAATTAGAGATGGGCATCAATCAGTAAAATTGTGATTTACTTTGATTCGTGATTTGTCAAGGTCAACAAATCACAAATTATGAATTTATGATTTTCCCCCCGGATGAATTGATTCATCAGTTTGTTTTTACCTTTAAACCCCTATATATCACCCTCCCAAGCACCTAGAGAATTAAATTCACAGGGAAGTTTCTCCTGACTCTCCTCTACAAGCCCTACAAGCTTGGTGAAGCTTGGGTTTCAAACATCCAAGTTATACACTCACAAAGCAGGTCCTTCCAGGAAAGTGCCCTTTAGCAGCTGGCTTGGGGAAACCAAATTTCACCAAACTTGGAAGGATTGTAGAGGAGAATGAGAGGAAACTTTACTGCATTTTTGGTGTCTCTAGGTACCTGGGGGGCATTTTATAGCCAAAGATATTAATGAATTGAAAATTGCTAAAAATTCATTGATTCACATTTGTTGGGACATTGATTACGAATTGACAAATTAGCAATTTCTGAATGAATTTAGTGATTCATTTTTTAATTCATCTTCATGTCTGCATGCAATCCTTCAGATGGCTTACATCAAAAATCATGTAGGGCTTTAAGCTTCATTAGCTAAAGAACTGTGTTCCCTGAAACTGGATTGCCAAATATTGTTGAACCAATTCCCAGAAGCTCCAGTCCACATGGCTACTGGCCAAGATTCTAAGCATTGTCATCCAACAATTTTTGAGGACTCAAAACTGTAAACCACTGCTATAAAGAAGTTACAAAATGTTACAAAATATTCAACTTCAGGGGCTATATAGGGAGCGTCCAAAGGCTGTAGGTTGTGAACTCCTGTCTTAGAGCTTAGGATGGTGGTTTTCACAGTATGAATATCCAGACTGACACATCTGTAAAGAAACCCTTGAATATAGGAATATATGAAGTTCCCTTATCCCTGTTCAGAATATTCAGCCCTGTTTTGTCTGATCAGCAGCAGTTAGGGTCTTTGAGAGAGTCTTCTGTGCTACTAGATCCTTATAATTAGAGATGCTGGAGGCTGAAGTAAGACATTTCTCCATGCAAAGTGTACCCTTCCTTCTCCACTTACTCTAGACTAAAATAAAGAGTCCAGTTTCTAGTCTTTACAGACTTTTGGTCCACTTCCCTGGGGAACAAGTGAGATATATTAAGAAATCGAGCAAGAAATCCCGGTTTGTAGCACTGGTATGATGGCAAACAAGAATGTCTGGCGAGAACCTGAAACAGCAGTTAATGCTGTTTCTGATGAGGGGAAAACTGGGACCAAGTACACGCAACAGTTCTAACTCTCAGTTAACAGTTTCTAACTCTCGTCGTATTTTGTTTGGAAAATTTATTTTTATTTGTTTTAATTTGGTTTAAAGCAGATTAAATGTTTTTCCACAAGACACTGCTAAATATTGATACCTAATTGTTATAATAAGCATCTTCTGAAAGCATAGTTAGTTCTATGAACACACCTGCCTCATAGATTTTGAGAAGCTTGGGGAGTGGTGTCAATGAGAAGCAGCTGAGCAGTTTTGAACTTTATACTGAATTGAATGTGAAAAACAGCTTCTGCCTTATTGTTACAAGGAATTGTCTGAAGTACCTAGAATATCAGCTTTCTAAGCAAGGGTTGGCAAACCAATGGAGGAGAAAAAGAGCGGGAATTCACAGGCCTTGATATATTTGAAGAGAAACACATAACAAGGAACAGCTCTATTCAGTTAAAGCATCCACGTAATTGCAACAGAACAGTTACTGTTCTGGGAAAATAATGGGACCATTTCAGAGACTCAAATCTGAGGATATTAGGAACAAAATGTTGTACACGGTGTCTTTTCACTGACAGAAGAATATTTGATCCAGTGGACGCTCATGGAATGCTGGTTTTAGCCTATCCTGGGGGGGTCTCCAAACTTTTTACAGTGAGGGTCATCTTTTCAATGACAGAAGAATATTTGATCCAGTGGAAGCTCATGGAATGCTGAGTTTAGCCTATCCCGGGGGTCTCCAAACTTTTTACAGTGAGGGTCACACCAGATGTTTTCAAAGGAAGAGGAATGTGTGTGTGTGTGTGCACATAAACGGCCACATGGACGTGTGTGCACACACATCTCTGCCCCTGCACACATGCATGCACACGTGTGTGCGCACATGAGCGGCCATATGCACGTGTGCACACACACACATATCTCTGCCCCTGCACACATGCATGCACACACGCATGCCCCCGCCCCAGCACACACGGTTGCATGAACGCCCCACGGGCCAGACAAAATGGCAATGTGGGCCACATGCAGTCCGCGGGCCGTAGTTTGGATACCCCCATCCTATCCTAATTATGGGCTCTTCTAAATGTGGCAAAACTTTTCACCATTATCTTGTTTTGTCCCTGTTGGTCATGAAGAAACATGAGGCTTACCAGGATTTGTCCCAAAACTGCACTTTTAAAATACGGTTTCCTACACTTCTTTCTTTCTAAAAAAAATTCTTAATATCCTTTAAAATATGTTTTTTTAAAACTCCTCCTTGGGACTTCTTCTCCGTTGTTCTTCTCTATGTTTTTGGCCCTAACTGAAAGCTTCTGTCAGAGGACTCTGATCTTCTCTATTTCCCTCCTAAGAATACAATACTAGTTCTGGGGTTTCTTTTCTGGATGTCTTTTGTTTCTTTTTGGCCTAACAGAGAGATGACCAAGGCAACGAACTGAGAAGTGTTATAGCACTAAATGCTGCCTCTTAGAACACACACACATCAGAAAGTCTGAGATATTGTCACGGTCACAGGTCTTACTAGTGCTGTGTGGCAATAAAAATACGACCAAGGCAACGAACTGAGAAGTGTTATAGCACTAAATGCTGCCTCTTAGAACACACACACATCAGAAAGTCTGAGATATTGTCACGGTCACAGGTCTTACTAGTGCTGTGTGGCAATAAAAATACAGTGGTGCCTCGCAAGACGGGTGCTCTGTTTAACGATGAATCCGCATTACGACGAGGTTTTTGCGATAGCAAAAGCGATTGCAAAACAACGTTTTGAATGGGGGAATTTCACTGCACGATGATCGGTTCCCTGTTTTGGGAACCAATTTTCGCTTCCCAATGATCAAAACAGCTGATAGTCGAGGTTTCAAAATGGCTGCCGTGTGCTCAAAATGGCTCCCCGCTGTGTTTAGGAGCCATTTTTCACTGCACAGGCACCCGAAAATGGCCGCCCCTATGGAGGATCTTCGCTGGACGGTGAGTTCTTAGCCAATTGGAACGCATTAACCAGGTTTTAATGCGTTTCAATGGCTTTTTAATTTTCGCTTTACGACGTTTTCGTTCTACAGCTATTTCGCTGGAACGAATTAACATTGTAATGCGAGGCACCACTGTACCAATATCATCAATGCATAATGAAGTGGACAGATATTCTGAGAGGACAGATACTCTGTGTGGAAGAGTTCTGAGTTCTTAAGTGTCTCAGCATAAAAGAACTGCGGTAGGGGATTAATACGTTTGTCACTATTCTGTCTCTAGGGGATAGTGTTGTTACATCAAAACATGCATACAATATATTTGAATTATGAGATTCTACAAATAATTGATTTCTGATGCATATTTTTAATTTCAGAATCAGAACACAAGGAAACACTTCTCCATCTCTCAATGAGATTGGGCTTGGTTAAACTTTCCCAGTACCTGTTTTTCCAGCCAGGTGGGCCAGAGGCAGTCACACTACCTAATGAAGATGGGTTAACACCGTTGGATTTGGCTTTGCAGAATGGACATGACAGACTTGTTGAAATTTTCTCCAAGTAAGTGTTATGGCTTCCTATGAAATGTTTAAAAAGGAGCAAGATCAAGGAGCTTTGTCAATTTCACTAGGTTATTCAAATGCAGATGGTACGTTATTACACCCCCCCCCCTCCAATATACTATCCCTTTCTCTTATAAGGGTCTAATCCTAACTATAGTACTTGCTTGAATTGCATTATAATTGCCAGCTCATATTGGAATGCCCTTGGGGTTGCTATATAAATGCAAAGTCTAACTTACCAGAAGGTCATAAGACTGGTAACAATATGATGCAAGAAATAGGCAGATATGCAGCCAGAGATGGAACATCAGAGGAGAAGCAGATATGATAAACAGAGAGATGAGTGTAACCCCATGACATAATTGTTTTTCTTGCACCTACTTTCCCATGTTTCTACGGGTAATCTAGCATTTTCAAAGAGCCTTTCTTTCCAAGACACAGGAATACATTGCTTTGAATTTTTACGTACATTATTTACTCTTTGCAAGTGTATGATGAAATGGGCTCTAATTCACAATACCTCGCCTGATAATACATTAATGGTCTATAAGTGCAATTGCCCAACACAGGTTTGCTGATAGACTAACACAGGCTTGGCTGTAGAAGACTCATTTGTTTTTTTCCTGCAATTGCCCAACACAAGTTTTGCTGATAGACTAACACAGGCTTGGCTGTCACTTGGCAGTTTCCTCTTCTTCTATAATCACAGTATATTGACAGCTCACTTATTAGCTCTTCTTTGTTATCTTACCTTGTCTGCTCCCTTGGCACAGCTTGAGTGCTCTCAAAAAAGCATTAGGTTGGAACAACTATGAAGGCACTCAGAGGCTGCCTGTCCCTTGCTGAGTATATCATGTTGTTGCTGAACCTTGGGTTAGCCACCTATTTGCCTTTGTTCTCCATGGCTAAATTGTCACATGACATAGTCAGGAAGAACAAAGAAAAGAAGAAAAAGAAAGGAATTTTTAAAACCCAACAGAAAGCCAAGAGAGAAACAAAATAATATAGTGAAAGAAAAAAAAGGAATTTTTAAAACCCAACAAAAAGCCAAGAGAGAAACAAAATAATATAGTTGTCCTCCCTCCTTTGGTCTATATCAGGCCTTTTTAAGAAAACATGGCTTTATACAATATGTGGTTTGTCTAAGACTTTTTGTGTGCTTTTATTTGCATGAAAAAATGACTGAGCTCTGTTATCACACATGTTGTTATGAATGTCTCACTTGTTTGGAACATTCAAACAATGCAGCATTCCCTTGAGACGGTCTGTTTTGAGCTACAGTATGCTAATAAGCCTGCTGGCGGCTGGTTCACAGTGACTATTGCATAGAGTTTACGAATAAGTGAGCCACATCTTTTTACAAAGAAAAGGGAAAGTCAGATTCTTGTTATTTTGTTCTGTTAAAATTCTCCAGGTTGAACAGACAGATGTAACCTGGAAAAGCAATGTTTATTGTGAATGGTTCATGCTGTTTTTGCCTGAGATCTTTGCAACAGGCAGGCTGGCATTTAAATGATGGGTCCCAAACAGAACAAAGAATTGCATATGGTTTCCTTTCATGGTTCCTGTACTCTTGCCTTAATGGAGTGAATGTGCTGTTTCAGGAGGGAGGTCAGCCATCCATTTGAGGTTTCTAAAGTAGATCTTGGTGAGAATGCTATCCTACAATTTGCTCATTCATCGGGAACTCTGTCACTGACATTTAATCGCAAAGCAGACCGTATGCTAGAATCTGATATTCAGCTGTTCAGGAAATACTTCTGGGATACAGCTTTTCCACACAAGGTAAGTGCCGAAGTATAATACAGAGAAGTGTCTTTGTCCTTTATCAAACACGTTTAACTTGTTTATTCACATTTGATAGATATGATGCTCTTCCTTAGATTAAGAAGCCTTGGGAAAAAAAAACAGTGGATTTGACTAATACACACAAAAAGGAGTGTTGTAGTTCCATGAATACTAAGGCCAACTGGAGTGGACCTGTTGTCTTAGGGTTTACATACCTTTTGCCAACCATTCTGCAATTTATTTAAGAGTTTACTCTTAGCTGGAAAAAGCAGTAGGATACTAATGTAACAGATCAAGACATATAGCTCACATTTTGCAGCATGGTCTAGTGTTAACTATTTCCTGATGATCACATGATGTATGGACAATAACACTCCAAACTGTTCTGTGCCCAAACTGGACTTTTTTGGTCCGTCAATAAGGCTACTACTTTTTCAATGCTGAGCTAAAATGATTGCCCAATGTATAGAAAGGTTGCTTTAAGGGATATTACTCCTTCCTGGTACAATCAAACATGTACCTTTCTTGCTGTCTGATTGCACCTTTACTGTGGTGTATGCTTTTGAGGAATAGAACATAATATATCTGATGACATGTGTCTACTCCCTAAAGGTTTTTGTGTTATTAGCCATGTTGGGCCATCTGCCTCTCTTGGGCCTATTTTAAGATCTGGAAAACTTTTTGCAAAATTTGTCTGGTTTTGAAAAAGTCCCCATTCCCACTCTAAAATAGACCTGTAGGAGCAGAATGCTTTGTTTGAGGGTCGGGTCCCAAGGATGCACAACAATGCCTTAGAGACCACTTGCTGCCTGCAAGCTGCATTTCACTAAACCACATTATGCATGCTTGCCTAGGACTAGCAGCATTTTTTTAAAAGCCTGTTATTTTAGAAATCATGTTGACTACACATACCAGTCCTGCACTTTAGTATAAGAAAATCAGTGCTGATGTGTCATTATACTTCATGTTTGTTATAAGGCTGTAGGATTACCAGTCTCAAGGACTATACCGTAGATCAGCCATTCTCAATAGGTTCCCTATTCTGTACACATATTTCAAGAAAATGAAGTTTGATTTTGCCTGACCTAACAATACGACTTCTATAGAGAATGAGTTCAAAAGCATGAGTAGGAAATATCTGAAGGAGTGCATAATACATAAAATAAACAGGATGTCCTGGGCAGACAAACAGCAGAGGCTTTTCACAATTTGGAAGAGAGAGAGAGAGAAAAATTGTTTTGTTTTGTTTGTTTTGTTTTGTTTAACTGGGTAAGACGAGTGTATCTGCTGAAGATTAAGCTGACCTGCAAAGGGAAATCCACTGCTAGCTGAGGAGCATTTGGGTTGGGAGGAATCATTCTTAAGGAATGATGTTGCAAATTGGGACAGGGTAGAGCGAAACAATGAGAGTACAGGGCAACACTGATTGAAATGGGCATACCAAACATTTGTGGAAGGATTCTGTGTTTGATGTGGTAACACTTTTGAAGATGCCATTTTGTAGCTTGTGTACACTCCTGAATTCAATCCTGAGCCTGGATTCTTGGGTTTTGGTGGTGACCAGGAGTGCATTGGCACAGTGAAAGCTGGTGTGCTGTCTATATCTATTCCTGGAGATGTCTGTGCATAGCTGAGTCCTGTTTGGATTACTTTGCCACACTCTCTAGGGGCTGCCTTTTGAAAACTCCAGCTGACCCAGAGGACCATGGGTCAGCTGAGTATTGATAGCCAAGTGAGGTTGGTGGCCAGGGTTGGTTATGGGCAGCACATGACTCCCTTTTGAAAACAGTTTCATTGGTTTCCAGGCTGTTTCTGGCCATAATTCAGAGCGCTGTTTATCAGTAATTATTATCCTTGATCAGTAAAGCTTACACGACTTGGAGCCACATTATCAGAAACACCATGTTCTTCAGTTGGAGCCTGCTCAGGGTGTCATCATTTTGACCCCTCCATCTTTATTGGCACTTTTGGTAGAGATGAGCATTCTTGGAGATTATCTCACAAATGTGGAACTCCATCCCAAGGGAAATTTGGGTGTCTCCTACCCCCTCCTGACCTTCCATCAGCAGGCAAAGACTCTTTTTATTCCAACAGAGTTTAAGCAACTGATTGGTAGTTCAGGAAGGGGCTTTTAATTGATTGGTTTTATAGCCCCATCTTTTTTGAAGGGTGCTTTTAACTTAATGGTGCTTTAATGCTATAATTGTTTAATTGTCTTTTAGTATGATAATCTTGTATATGGGTTTTTTTTCCTACTTGCTTTTAAAATTTATTTTTGTTGTTGTTTGTGCTGTCCTGAATCCAAATTCTAGGAGAAAGATGGGATATAGTAAAAAATGATGATGATGATCAGAGCTTGGAATGCTTCTTTTTTAAAAGGGACTGATTCTGTTACTCACTATTTTGGATAGCAGCACATTGTTATAATTACCCCACTTGCAAAAATAATCCATTCCCTTGTTCATTGCTGACGTATTAATATTACTGGCGCAACTATTGGAAAATACATGAAAATATTCACTGGGCTCCTCAAGAGGTCAATTCAGTTTATTGCATGTTGACAGTCACATTACAAAGCAACTCTTCCCCATGATGCCTTGAACTACTCCTCTCCCCCAAGTCCATTTGCAGATGGAATGGGATTTGTGGCCCAACACATTTGAGAAAATTCCAGGTTTGCTAGGGTTCTATAGACAGGCATTTCTTAATGAGTGTTACTTTAGTATACAAACTGTACTGTCATAATAAAATGCTTTTTTGCAGCCTTCCATCTGTGTCTGGCACTTTCCTGGATACATTCAACAGGATGAGCACCAGGAATTAAAAGATGCATCTATGTTAGGTGCCAGTTTGGTTGGAAAGTTCCATGTTCAGAAGCTGCTTCTGTACTGCTGCATGGGCCGTGGCACTGCCAGCCCTCCCACCCTCACCTCATGCCCCCCTTTCCCTTTCCACCTCGTACCTTTTCCCTCTCATCATCTTCCCGCTCTGTTCTCCCTGCCTCCCACCGCCTGATCACATCCCACCTGTGGCCCATGACTAACCTTGTTTTGGTGGATGGTGGATGGCAGCCGTGGCGGAAGTGCTTCCTCCCAGCTGGGGGATTCCCTGCCACACCTTCTTCCAAATGGCCTCAAACAGCCATAGGGCCAACCATCAGCTGTTTGGCACTGTCTAGGAAATTGCAGTGCCAAATCCCCCAGCTGGGATTGCAGAGAGGGTCTTCTCCCAGCTGGGGGTGGGTGGGTTTCAGCTCTGCTGCTTCTGGTGACTTCCCAGCCAGCGCTGAACAGCTGATGGTCGGCCCTGCCAGTGGGAATGCATACAGCGATTCAAAGCCATGTGACTGTTACCTGGTTTTGAATTGCTGTCATTTGCATCGCTGAAGACAGCAATATAAACGATCAACATAAATTTGCCCTCTATCTCTCATGCACTCTTCTCACATGCTTTTTCTCTCTCGGGTACCTGTGTGGTCTTTCTTGTGCAATCTCTCTTGTGCTCTCTGTGTGTCTTTTTCTCTCATGTACACACACACACACACACTAGTTCCCAAGCCCTGTGGGAGAGAGGAAGTAGAAATGTTTCCAGTCCCTCACAGTTTCTGTTTTCACCACTGCTTTTCTCTCTTACGAGTTTTCATCTCCTGACAATGCCTCCTCTGCAAAGAAGGGAATGGGATGTAGCAGGACAAAATAAACCACCCGTGTGATCTTTCTTCCTCCCCTCTCCTTGATCAGGCTATCCTGTCCCAGTAACAAAAGACAGACACATGGCTTTTCGTTCATTGGAAAGTAGTAATTTACAGCCATGGCCATTATAAGCAAAAAAGTAATGCAGTTCGACCTCATTACTGTAAAGTGTGACTCATTCCAAAAGTAACTCATTTAAAAGAAGAGAGACTGAGAGAGAGAGAGAGAGAGAGATGGTAGTAACATTGACAACAATGATAATAAGTATGGTAATAATAATCATGAAAAGTGGAAGAAAAAGAAGAACTAAACATCAATAGATGTTTATATGTGTGACAAGATGGGGAAATAGGTTAAAACCATTATTTTGGATAGTGGAATGGACCTATAATTTGTAGATCACATGATACAGACAATAATGCTGCACAGTGATTATTTTATCTTCATTCTGTTTTAAAGAATCTTACTCCAAAACAAGCTGAAACACTAGGAGAAGCACAGATGCCTTGTGACTCTACAACTTCTGCAGCAGAAGGTATAAAATTTCTGGCTTTCATCTGCAAATCCATTGTTAAATGCTTGTGTAAAATACATTGAGATAGCTTTTGTTTTGTGTACTATTTATTTAGCATCCAAACTCTTTACAAACAAATGTCAAGATAATTGTTTTCAGCTAAATAGCTTTTTATAAAGCAATCCCAGTTGTCTTTCAGACTCCCCTCTTCTTCCTGCCGGATTGTTTTTTGGAGGAGGAAGAGGAGTAGGAAATAAGATGAGCACTGTAAAGCGTTAAGCACAGAGTTAAAAATAAATCTAAATTGTTTTATCAACACTGGTTGGTCTCCTGCATACTGTTTACATGCACACACAGCTCTGACTGCAGAAGCTGCCACAGTGATCAGATGAGGTGTCATTAGTATATAACCAGACACATGACCAGCACCTTGTCAGATTGCCACGCCAGCTTCTGTAGCAGTAGTTCCATGTACATAAATATTGAACAGGCCATTAATTCTTATGAAGCAAGCTTTTCTTCAATTCTAGAATATAACTTGAAGATATACGGACTAATGTCCTCAAAAGCTTATTCCAAATGAAACTTGTTAGCATTTAAAGTGCCACAAAACTCTTTACTGTAACAGACTAGCATGGCTACTTTCTTGAAAACCTACTTAATATAGATACCATGGGGAAACAAGGATGGCTGGATAGCTCAGTAGTTTAATTATCTGGCTGTGGAGCTAGAGGTTGGGAGTTCAATTCCCCACTTGCATTCCAGAGCAGCCAGTCTAGATGGGCCTTGGGCAATTTGCACAATCCCGGGATGCCCTCAGAAGAAGAGAATGGTACACCACTTCTAAGTGCTCTGTACCTAGAAAACCTTGAAAAGGGTTGCCATAAATCAGACTTGATTTGATGGCATGCCATTACAGTATTATTAAGGGGAAATAATAATAATTGCATGAAGCCCTGGACATACATAATTTACTGTTATTTGCACAAACACTCCTACCCTTTTCTTCATCTTATCCCCTATTTGTGGCCAATAGGTAAATAGATATTTAAAATAGATTGAAGAGAAGCTGACATTGCCATGTTTCCTCCTGAATCATGTCACTTCCCCCTACTCTGCTTCTGTCTAGCCGGGATTAAGCCTTAAAAGACTAACACTTGTGGCTGCTCTGAAACATTTTATTGCTATTGGCTGAAGCACTTCCAGAGCTCTTCCTCTGGGCTATCCCTTTTGGTGTTTTGCTTGAAAACCTTTCACCTGTACCTGGTGCGCCACCTGCAGGCTTTCAGATCTTGGAAAGCAAAGCAAATCAGAGCAAGGATTTAGCATGGCAAGCCTGTACAGAAGACTGTGAGTGTTCCTCTCCCGGTTAGATACAGGCAGCGGGACTGATATTTTTCATGCCTTACCAGCATGACAGCCAGGTCTTGGAAGTGACACCAAGGTCTTAAGAACGTTCCTTTTGAAAAACAACAAAACAGGTGATAATGTTAATTCCCTCACAAACAAGAATTTTTACTTTTCTCATTATTTTGGGGAGACAGAATTAAGAGCAATAAAACAAGCAGTGTAGCAAGTCAAAACTTTTGTAACAGAAATTACTCTCTCCCCTCCCCACCACCCCAGCTTTGCATCAACTTACATAAACAGACTGCTTATTTAAAAGTAATTTTTCAGGTTCTGAGCTAGCTTGGTTACAGAAAAGTACAGTTAGATGTAAATCTGTCTGTAGCAGAATACTGGAAAATTCTGTGCTTGGTTTCACTGTTAGTGCAGTACAAGAATAATGTACGTAAATCCATCTAGTCTTCAGCATTGATGTTAGAGTCTGCTGTTGGTGGAGTCTTTCTGTCTAGGATAAAAAGCCATTACTTATAGTATGATTAATTTTGCTGCAGGTAAACAGGCCAGAAAGTTAATATGAGTGAAGGGGACATAAGAGCTGTGGCATACTGCTTTTGGAGCAAAGGCACTGGGATATGTTCAGTGTGAAACCTTAGCAGCATCATACCTAAGTAAGGGTTGAAACATCAGATGCAATTACTGTCTGAAACACTAAATGGGCTGCCTGATTAATAGGTACAACTCATGATGTCTTCACATACAGAGCAGTTTCTTTTAGAGTAACCTTTCATATTAAACTTGAGTTGTGGAGTCTGCTTCCTATGTCATATGTAAAGGAAGATCTTGCCTTCTTTTTCAGGTGAGGTCACTGAATTCTTTGATCAATATACAGTGGTGCCCCACTTGACAATTACCTCGTTAAACGACGAATCTGCTTTACGATGTTTTTTTGCTATTGCAATAGCAATCGCAAAACAATGTTCCTATGGGCTTTTTTCGTTCAACGATGATTGGTTCCCTGCTTCGGGAACCGATTGTTCGCTTAACGATGATTTTAAAACAGCTGATTGGCGGGTAACAAAATGGCTGCCCGCTGTGCAAAATGGCTCCCCACTGTTTTCAGCACTGATTGCTTGCTTTACAAGCACCAGAAAATGGCCGCCCTATGCAGGATCTTTGCTGGACGATGAGGTATTTCACCCATTAGAATGCATTAACCGGTTTCTAATGCATTCTAATGGGTTTTTTAATTTCGCTTGACGATGATTTCGTTTAACAGCGATTTGAACAGAACGGATTATCGTCGTCAAGCGAGGCACCACTGTATTTCTTGATCTTACACATGAAGTAACACTTGGAAGGGTAATTCCCTCCTATTTCCTCCTGTAGTTTAAAACAGTTACTTTTTTCTTGCTGAAGGAGTCTGGTGACTGTACTTTGAAAAAGTAACTTTTCCAAGCCCTCATTCCTCCCCCTTGCTTTCATATAATACCTGAAGTCATCCTTGCAATGGAAACTCAAAACTGATTGTAAGTTTGCTTCCCATGTTAGAAGATGATGCAAAAAGGGCTAATGAAAATAAATCAAAGAAAAAATAGCGAGTGAATAGATTCATTTCTTTGAACAACAATATTTGTTTTAGCTAACCACACAGGTGAGGAGGGGGGGTTTCTACCAAATGTGCTCAGGCGGAGAATGTTCATTCTGATCTTTCATAATAGTTGCACTGTCTGTGACCAGGGGAAAAATGAATTAAATATGAATTCAGTACACTGTGCCCTTCCTCCACAGTTCTGAAAAGAAGCCAAAAAAACAAAATAATGTAGTCACAATTGTTCCCTGTAGTCAAAGTAAAAGAGCTGGAAATGGCTTTTCTTTTCTTTTTACAAAAAAGTCACATCTATATGCACACTATAATATGCTTTTGGCAGTCTATACAATAAGAGTTGCAATAAGAGTACTTTGTGATTTAATATGCATTTTCACAGCATGCCCCTTTAAGGGAAAAAAAACTTTGTTTACAATTAGCCCATCAAAACAAGAGAACAGCTTATTGTACAAGCCTCTCATGTTTCAGCCACAGGCTTACTTTGGGACAAGTGCATATTGTAAAGGAGCATTGTTTGGTCTTTGTCCCTCATTCTCTTTGCCTCCTTGAGTGTGTGGTGGGGAGAGAAGAAGGCTCAACCTCCACAGATGCTAATGGGAAAACTGCTTTTCTTTAAACAGATCTCGTGGGCTTTGTATCTGAGGAGCCATCTCCTAAAAATGAAGATGTGACGGTACAGCTCAGTTCTATTTTTATGAATTGCTAAAATCAAACGAGGTTCCTATGCCACATCCTTTGCTTTAGTATTTGAATGCCTTCCAGAAGAAAAGATTAACTTGGTTAACACTTGCCAAGTCATGCTTCTTCGTAGATTAGTTCCAAGGCAAGAAATAACACGCACACACACGCAAACACACACACACACACACACAAAGTGTGAGTAACTAGATAATATTCTCGCTGTGGAAGCCAGTGGAAAAGAAAACAATATTACTTCTTTGGACTCCAAGCTATTATAATTACAGTCAATCCTGCTGCCTGGGGCTTCTGAGAGATGATGTTAAAAACATGTGGAGGGCAAAAAATAAAATAAAATAAAATAAATCAATTGAGAACCAGTTATCTAGCTCACAGTGGCTCTCAGTGTGCTTTCAGTTGAAGATCCTTCCCACTCCACTACATGAGAGCTTTATTGACTGATGATGGCCACTGGCCAGGTCTGAGCTGAAGATTTCTGCATTGGTAAGCGTGGGCTTTTCCACAGAGATGCAGTCCTTATTCTTGCCAATGAGGGGTGCCTGGCTTTACAGTGGTGCAAAAACACTGAGCCAAGCATGGATCCTCATGAATCCCCATGATTTTAGCATGGGATCTGCTCTAAAATACTTTAGATTGAATCAAATGCCCATTGTATCCACAGAGTACAACAGAGAAATGAGGGGTGCTTGGCTTTACAATGGCCAAAAAAACACTGATCCAAGCACGGAATAACATGGGATCATCCTCAAACCATTGTCCAGTCTGTGGGCAGAGATGGTTCCTATGATGGTGATTATTGGGGGCGGGGAATAATCCTACATAAAAACCATGTGGATCCAGGGATGGTTTCTACGATGGTGATTATTTTGGGGATAATCCTACATAAAAAACATGTGGATCCATGAGGATCTGTGCCTCTGATTCTTTTTTTGCCCAAAGGCAGCTCTTTGCTCCTCCAATCCTCCTCTTCCTCTCAGGCTCCCTGCACCTGCCCATCCCTCCTTCCTTCCCGGCTCCCTGTGGCTCTTGTTGCTGCTGCCGCTGCGACTCCCCCACCTCTGCTGGTTACTCAAAGAGGCAGGTGTGATTGGGCAGGGAGGGTGAGGGAGGGGACAGGGAGGCCAGGAGCAGGGTGGCAGAGGGCGATCAGGCTGGGAGCAATTGGTGGCGGGAGAGCAAGGCACTTTGGGCAAATCAAGGCATTAGACTGCGATTCAGACCCAAGCTAAAATAAATTACCCTGCCAGGAGGAGGTTAAATGACACCCTTCTGAACAGAATAACATGAGTCCAGGAGGGGAAAAAGCAAGTTCCACTGTGCACCATATGATCAACTTTTTTTTTTTAACATCGATGCAGTTGCAGCTAAACACGATTCATATACCTTAGAGTGCTTTGCACTTAGGGTCATTTCACAGAGGCTTCGGTTCACTACATGCTAGATTATGGCCACTGTTTTTACATCTGTTTTTTGACATGAGAGTGGTTCATTGGTGTGCTCCCAAGCTTTTCAATTGAACTGGGAAATGAATTAGCCTAAAATAGGACCAGATGGCTCTGGTATTCTATGATCTGCACAATTTGGTGAATTTTTAAAAAAAGGAATTAGAGGATGTTAACTTTTAGGACTCTTGAGAATATTGTTTCTTTCACTGGTATCTTTAAAAAGAAGGAGCTGGCCAGTGTTGAAGATACATTCTTTCGTGGTAGGCCTTCCTGATTTTTTAATTTGAAACATACATTTCCAAGTGTCTCCAAATAGTGGATGAGGTATTGACTGCTGTTATATTGCAACCAATGTGATCTGTTGTTGTGGAAAATTGGACAGGAACTTGCTGAGATAATGAGTGGTGTTTTTTTTAAATTCTGCACATATTATTTTGCCTGACATTTTCAAAAATACTAATGTTGTGCTCTAAACAGAAGAAAGGCATCTGCGACTTTTCAGATGTTTTCAGCATGATTTGTTACAGAAGACTAGTTGGAACATAAACTAATTCCTGTTTGTTTTGCAGGTACATAGTGATCGTACAGTTCAGGTGGTTGAACATGAAGATGATGCTGTGTTGGATTTAGGTAAGAGCCTTGCCAGTTCAGGCTCTCCCACTGCCTGAGGCAAGGACAGCCACACATGCATGCCCACAAGTGTTGCCCTTCCCACCCCCTGCATCCACTGACACAAGAACAGGCAGTTTCCTAGGTCATCTGTTCCCACATCTCTGTCTCTGAAAGACGAAAAAGGATCCCCTCAAAGATAGATATTTGGGCCTGTGCTCTCTGCTTTCAACATCCAGACCAACTCTCTGCAGACCTTGCTTTCCCTTTGCTGTGTTCTGAATTAGACAGACAAAGGGCAACTGCTCTGACTGTGTCACCTGAAATCTTCTTTGGTCTACATACTTCTTTTAGAGTTGGGCAGAGAACGAGCAGTTCTGGAGCTTCTGTGCCTGCCCTCTGTCTCCCTCAGAACAGATTGCTGTCTCTCAACTGAATAGTCCAGAAAATTCTGGAATCTGATTTTTCTTGGTGCCCTGTTGAGTGCTCCTCTCTTGCAGCTTTTGTGAGAATGTGACTTTTTGGAGTACTCTCTGTGGTGCTACCTTGCTAAAGTGAAGTGATGGTGGCCGAGCCCTCCTGGCAGTTGTAGCATTGGTGCCATTTTATGTCCTCCCCTCACCACTATCTGAGGCGGAGGATTCACATTATCTCATGGGAGAGATGGAGCTGCTTAGGAATCATCCTAAACTGTATTCTTTCATGAGCTTTAAAAAAGAATCCCTTATAACTTGCTGATTCTTACTTAAAAATAGAAAGTATGACCTCAAGTGGAAGGTTTGCCAATACTAAGGAGATATTTCTCTCATTTCTTTGTCTCTCAACATCTCTCTCTCTCTCTCTCTCTTAGTTTGCCAATACTAAGGAGAGATTTCTCTCATTTCTTTGTCTCTCAACATATCTCTCTCTTTTCTTTTCTTTTTTTTTTTGCCTTACAAGACCAGTAGCACATTTGTTATTTCTTGGTTGGCTGCCAGACCATAATTGATTCAATTTATTTATTAATTACATTTACACTGTACTGCTTCCTCCAACAAACTATATGTGAGATGGGTTAGAGAGAGTGATCAGCCAAAGGTCACCTAAGGTGTTTCGTGGGTCTTTGGGAGCTTAGAACTTGGATCTCCCACATCCCATTCCAACATTTTAACCCAGGCTTGTCCAACCCGCAGCCCAGTTCAGCTCGTAATGCAGCCCAGTGCAATTTTTTATTCTTAAAGAAATTCCAAAGTTTCAAGTTACACTGCCGGCGCTTGCGGCCGGAATGTGGCCGGGGCATGTCACAACAGTAGAGGGGGAGAGAGGGAAGGAAGGAAGGATTGGGAGGGGAGGGGACAGGGGAGCTGCGTGACTGCATTGCGCCATCCCTGTCAATAAGTGGACCCCCTCCTGGCCCCATAAAGCTGCCGGAGTCGAAGCTGGCAGCCTCTGCTGTCTGAGATCGCAGCTGCCAGTAAGCATGCTTGAAGTGGGGCTGCGGAGGACAGCTAGGGCTGCCCACCATGCGGCTAGAACCAAATGTATGTGCAGCCCAAACCAAATTTTCATTTTCTAATGTGGCCCAGGGAAGGTGAAAGGTTGGACACCCCTGTTTTAACCATTGTAGCCAGCAAGGCTATCTCCAGCTCCCTTCCCCTTCACACACAAGCATTGTGAGTGAGCTACTTTCTGGTAGTGCAATCCCATGCCACTAAGAAATGTGTGTAATTTAAGTAACTGCATGGGCTGGTAAATATAATTGTTTTCCCCCATCCTGTCATAGAACATCAATTGACGTCCTGATTCTCATCAATTCAGACTGTCTTGACCCAATGGGACATTTTGACAAGACCTTTTTATGTGTGATCTCCCATCTCCAAAACGGAAATTTAAAAGCTAATATTTTCCATATCCATAAGCTTGTAAAATGTCTCTACTGTCCCTTCTCTTTGAGAAACACATATACAAAATGCACGTATACAGTTACAGTAAACACAGAAGTATGGGCTGATTATTTGGAAAGAAGCGAACAAGTGATCTAGTGCAGTGGTTCTTAATTTCTAAATTCACAGAAGCCTTCACTGCTAGCTGTTAGGCCCCCAGATGATCTTGGACTAAAATTCACAGAAGCCTTCACTGCTAGCTGTGCTGGCTAGGATTTCTGGGAGTTTTAGTCCATGAACCATTGGGGGGGGGGCAAGGTAGGAAACACTGATCTAGTGTTTCAGATTCTTAAATAAAGCAGGTTTCATCTGAATGTGCAACAATTTGCAAAACTTTGCACAGAATGTTGGCAGTTTTACACAAAATGGTGGCAATTGTGCATACAATTTTGTGTAAACTATTGTTTTCATCAATGTAGATGTATTGCCATTCTCATAGGTAAGGAGAAGAATGTTGAAATTCTTTGTCTTGGCATACAAGGACAAGACAAATGAGGATTTACATATCTGCTTAATCAAGATATGAAATGTTAGCATGTACAGTACTGTCCTTATGTGAGGAATGGAAAATGAATCTGATAGTTTCTCTTTCTATACTGTACTCATTTTGGGAGCAAATGTTCCTTTTATCTGGTTCACAGATCAGTTTTAAATTTTTATAAAAAGAAGGCTGCCCTTAAAATTCAGAGACTTTCCTTTTTTCAAATTTTATTTGCACAAGATTCGCATGAAGAGCTTAAGGTCCTTGAAGATGTAATAAACGGTATATAAGTTCATATCACTGTCTTCAACATATTTTAAAATTGCTTTATTTAGGAAAAAAGTGTTTTTCAGTATCATATTGTAAGAATAGGATTAAGTAGGCCTTTCATACATCCCCAGTTTAAAGTTAATGGACAGGTCCTACTGATATTCATGTAATTGTTGTATAGATTATTTCAGCTAATTGGTGAAGTGTGAAGGAACGTCTCAGTTGTGCAGTTGGACACATGACCAAGATGTCTCCTAACACCCCTTCAACTAACCACAATTGACTGTGGCAAGTTACACAAACCTTATTCAAATGCCAGTAGGATTCTGGCCAGTGTTATACCAGAAATGGGAAACATTTTTTCAAACAGTCTATCCTTGGAATTGGGTTGCAAAATGGCTATATTTTGCCTAGATAATAATTATGTGCCATCAGGTCAATTCTGACTTATGGTGACTCTTCCAGGGGGTTCTGGGTATAAAATACTACACAGAAATGGTTTTCCATTTTCCTCCTTCTGGGATGCTCTGAGACCAGGTAGCTTTGCCCAAGTTAACACAGGCTGCCTATTTTCTCACAAGGCACAGTGGGGAATCCTGACTCAGGCACTCCAGCCCAGGAAGCTAATATAAGCAATTCCCATACTCTTTAAAATATAATATTTGGTGTCACATCCATTTGAAATTTAGTGCTGCTATTAATTCATATTGACTGGAATCCTGTTGGGCAGGATCCGCCTCTTACTGGGCATAATCTCATTGAAAGTAACAGATTCATGTAGGTTTGGGGTGCATATGCCAGTTTTGCTGCATTGTGTATGAGCTGTGTGTGCCCCAAAATTACAAAAAGAAGCCTTTCATCTGGGGCAATTTGTCAATGCAGATGACTTCATTTCTGTTGTATAGGTACAGCTATACAACAGGATTTTATCTGTTCTGTATTTGGAGTATTTTCTTGCTCTAAGTAATCCAGCAAAATGATAGTTTTAAAAAAGAATAAAATAGTGGCTAGCAAGTTTGATGCCAAAACGAGCTGGGTTTTGCTTTAGAGATGAAAAGTGTTTTAAACATTTGCGTTTCACTCTTTAGTTTTTCACATTCTTTTCTGTCTTGCTTTTTGTATTAACACCATTGCAGTTAAAGCATTAGCTCATAAGGGGTAAAAAGGAACATAAAATACATGTGGAGATTATTATTGCAGAAAATTATTGGGGAAATTCTCTCAATTCATGTTACTAGTTTTGAAGCATCCTGCTGCAATATCTGTATATTGTTTCAAACTCCAACATACAAACAGAGATTTTTGGAAGATGATACGGGCAAAGATTTAGGACTATAGGATAATAGAACTGGAAGTGTTTAAAGGTCATTAGAGGTCAAAAGTAATCTTGCCCATATCCCAGTGCAGGAAATCTGTTTCCACAGCAACCCAACTAGATAGCTATCTGGTCTCTTCCTATTGCAGGAGAGTCTCCCAGCTTTCTAAGGCTGTCCCACAACAGAATGCTCCAGAGAGTTAGTTGAAAATAATTCTGGAATCTGATTGATGCTGGTTGGTAAGGAATATCATAATACTCAAGTCAGTTATGGTTGGTTTTTGAGAAGGAATGGCCTCAAATAAAGAACAGGAAGAACAGTTGAATTTTATGTGCCTAGAACTAGAAAAACAGTAAACAAAAACCTAAAGCTTATGTCTAGCAACTGTTATCCTGCAGAAGAGATATTGGGGATTGTGGCTGGTAACAGCTTGGTAGAAATCCTATTCATGTTTTAAAAGCACATTGTACCATCAGCACTAAAGGAATGGGGCACAGGAGCCTCACCTCCTTCTGTAACACTTCCATTGACTCTGTATGGAGTCAGGTGGGGTGTGTGTGGGATGTCTGAACTGAAGGGCTCCTGCCATCTGTGAAGCGCAGCTCTTTGTATTCAGAGCACCCGAAGAAGACTTAAGTCTTTCTGAAAATGTTGAAAGAGGCATAAAATGATGATATAAGATGCAGCTCCTTTACATGAAATATGTACGCCTTGACTTTTTCATGTATGAACTTGAGTTGTTTGCTTTGTTACTTTAGTGGTCCTGTTAGGATGTTGTTATGGTATGAATTGATGGAAAGATACATAAAATTATGCAGTGAGATGAGAATCATGCTTTTCCTGTAGATTTAATATGGCTATTGGACCAATAATTCAATATGTGTACATATGGTGTACCCAGTGTGATATTGTGGATAAAGTGATGGACCAGGCTGGGATTCAGGAGGCCTGGTTTGAATCCCTGCTCAGCCATGGAAGCTCACTGAGGGTGTGGAACTGGTAAAACCACTCTTTCAACATCTTACTTACCTT